AAAGACAATACAAAATATAATCTTTACTTTTGTTATAACAGTTAATGGCAGGTATTCCTTGTAGTGCTTGACAACAATATTGTTTTTTATTCTGCTACAGTTGATGGTAACTTTACTGAGTGGAGCAACTGGACAAGATGCTCTGTATCGTGTGGCAATGGTACACAAGAACGTAACCGTAGCTGTTCTAAGCCAACACCGGCATATGGTGGTAACAATTGCAYTGGCAATCATTCGGAGATACATTTCTGCACCCAACCGCATTGCCCTGGTAGGTGTTTTAGATATTTTGTTTACTACTTAATGTTTCGTTGTTTTAGGTTGTTTGCAGCTGAATCCAGAAAAGAAGGAAAAAAATATCATCAGTCAATGTTTTGACAAAACGATGTTTTCACCCAAAACAAAAGAGAAAAAAGGGACAAAATGAAACAAAACAAAGAGAAAATTAAAAAAAAAGGAAAGGAAAGACAATACAAAATATATTCTTTACTTTTGTTATAACAGTTAATGGCAGGTATTCCTTGTAGTGCTTGACAACAATCGTTTTTTATTCTGTTACAGTCGATGGTAACTTTTCTGAGTGGAGCAACTGGACAAGATGCTCTGTATCGTGTGGCAATGGTACACAAGAACGTAACCGCAGCTGTTCTAAGCCAACACCGGCATATGRTGGTAACAATTGCACTGGCAATCATTCTGAGATACGCTACTGCACCCAACCGCATTGCCCTGGTAGGTAATTTATTAGATACTTGTTTTGTTTATAATGTTTTGTAGTTTTATGTTGTCTGCAACTGCATCCAAMAAAGAAGGAAAAAAAATAGTCTTACAGTTATCCTAACAGTAGGCTTTTTTTGTTATTCAAGTCGATGGAAACTGGACTTCATGGTCTGCTTGGTCTGTCTGTAGCAAACCCTGCGAATCTGGCTCCCAAAACAGCACTAGGACATGTAGCAACCCAGCTCCACAGCATGGAGGGAAGGAATGTAAAGGAGCAAGGAACAGATCAAGATTATGTAACACTTTTGCCTGCATAGGTATAGTATAAAAGATYTCTTATTAATAGCAATGGCDATATAAATTAYCAAATCAAAATGTAATTTTTTAATCGCAGCTGCTGAGGTAACGGTTTTGGTTCGCTTTCCTGAYRAAAACTGGGATGAAGACTTGAAGGACTTGAGCAGTGATGCAAGTYTGCTTCTCAAAGAAAAGATTCTAAAAAACGTGAGTTTATTATATAAACATGTCTTTGATTTATCAACCCTTTGGRAGGATACAGTAGCTGGTCTATTCATATTCAAGGGAATTGGAAGAGTGTATTCTTAGGTGGTAAAGTGATAGAATATAAGTGCTCTGCATAAGTTATTGCCWAATGCTGTACCATGTAATCTGGATACCTTTTGTTCTAGATAAAGAAAAAACTGGATTATTTCTTAGTTATTCTAGGACTAAAATGGTTATAAAAAGGGGGATTCTCTGCCTTCATAGTAATTGGTTCATTCATACCAACAGCTGAGGTTGTTAAGGATTTTTGTTTGTCTTGGTATGTCACACTATGCACATGTATGATCAAAAATTAAAATTCTTATTAACATTTTGATAGTTAAAGAAGATATATAGTGGAGAGAATCCTGTATTAAAGATTGAAGTTCACTCTTTCAGGTATGTATGAACTTACGCTAGCTATAATAGAGAATATGATTTCAATAACTTACTTATGCCAYTGACAGACTGAACTTACGCTATATAATGAATGCAAGATATCAATATGGTAACTGACTGACTGACTGACTGACTGACTGACTGACTGACTGACTGACTGACTGACTGACTGACTGACTGACTACGCTAGAGGTGAATCCATGATTTAAAAAAGGGGGGTTCCAAAATGGCCACCAAGTATGAAAGAACTGGTGCAATTTGCTCCACATGCAGGGGGGTTACGATTTTATTATAGACTCACAAAGTGGAGTTTCATGGAGGCGACACCCCTGGATCTGCCCCTGCTGACTGACTGTTCATTTTTGACAGATTCCTGATTGACTGACATCGGACTGACAGACAGATTGACTGATTACCTGACCAAATAAAGAATATTTGCTTCCTTGATATCTTATATAATTATAGTTGAAAACTGATTTGTTATAGTTAGAAAAAAAGCTCTATTAAATCTTAAAATGTTGTATTTTTAGCAAAGGCAGTGTTGTTTCCAACTTCACCATCATTTATAGCACCATGGAATCCTTGCAGCTCATCATACTACAAGAATGGATTGAGAAAGAGGGTTTCCTCGGTGCGATGCCTGTACAAACTACTTACATTAAAACATCTAAAGGTAAAGCCAAACTCTAAGTAAAACCATGTGACCTTTTCAACAATAAATGGGGCGATTGTTTTCAAAATCATCTGGATTGTCAGAATATTAATATTCACTTTGAAAACACATTTTTATTTGGTAAAACTAAAGTTTCAGTGAATA